ATAGGTAAAATGTATATATCGATTCAGCTTCAAAAAGGAATAAAGGTGATCCACGCTACAACACGGGTGAATCTCAAAAACATGTGAGAGCAGTTTTTATAACAGGCAAATACTCATATATGAAGTATTTACCCACATCTATAGCATATCCACATACATGAAGTATTCAGAATGATGAGGAGGATGAAAACCTTCTGGAAATAGGAAATGGTCACAGTTGCATGATACTGTGAATGTACTTCATGCCGCTGAATTGTCTAATTATAAGTGGTTAAGATGGTAAAGTTTAGATTAGGTATATTTTATCACAATTATGTTTTAATTTTTAAGCAGGGCACAGTGGGGCACATGCCTGTAATACCAGCTACTTGGGAGGGCTGAAGCAAGACCAACACCACTGCAAGACCTTATTTCAAAATAAAACAAAAAGGGCTGTGGAGCCAGGCATGGTGGCACACGCCTGTAACCTCAGCACTTGGGAGGCTGAGGCCGGAGGATCGCTGCAAGGTCAAGCTACATAGTGAGATCAAGACTAGTGTGAACTGGATTCGTCGTTAATGATAACACAGTTAAAGTGATTCCCTCCCCTTATCCAAAATTTTAAGTTCTTCACACTGCCACTTTCGACTTGCTTCTTTTCTGAAAATTAAAAAACGTAAATAAAACAACAGAAAAATAGGAAATGTAACTTAGAGATTCTATCTTTCCCGGAGTTATTGGAAATGTGACTGGCATTTAATACATTCCTACCTAAATGCCAGGAGGAGCCCCAGGGGACCCTGCCACTGGAAGCTTTCAGGCCTCACCTCCAGCTTCCACGTCTGAGGCTGGGGAGGGCGGACCCGGTGGCAGACGCCCACGCCAAGGCAGCGGAGTGTCTAGGACATGGTGACCAGGAAAGGGAAGCAGCAGGACACACCAACTGCACTTCCTCAGATGGGGAAAGCCCAACATGGAACCCACAAGCTGCTGTCTGTAACACAGCTGCCCCTTCCCAAGCACCCTGCTCCTCAGTAACAGTCGACCGCACTATTTGTTGTGTTTTCAGTGGACTCCCCGCTTCCTGCAGCTTCATGATACTGAGCTAAAAATACTGTGGGCTGGCACGTGGCCCAAATGCTGGAGCCCAGAGAGGCTGATGGGTAAATAAGGAGTGGTGTGCGTGCTCCAAGCGGGGTGGGGAAGGCAGGGAGAAGCCGAGGCAGTGGTGACACGGGGGAGGAGGAGGAGGTGTCAGAGGCAGAGGGAGCAGTAATCAGAGAAGGAAAAGAGTAGGCCTTTCACAAAACACTTCTTCGGGGAAGGTAACAAGCACGCTCCTCTAAATTAACTTTGTGCAAGCCAGGCATGGTGGCGCACTCCTGTAATCCCAGCACTCAGGAGGCTGAGGCAGGAGGATCGTTGCGAGTTTGACACCAGCCTGGGCTACAAAGTGAGCTCAAGGCCAGCCTGAACTGCATAGTGAGGCCCTGTCTCAAAAAGACAAAAAACAAATAAATTAACTTGGTGCAATCTCAACCCAGATGGCTACTAGTTTTCAAAGTAATAAACTGTTTTACATGGAATTCCCTATACAAATCCTTACAGCTTCTTTGATCTGCATTGTGATATATTTTACTTAACATGACAACAACTGTACATACTCAGGTAGGTAGAGTGTAATATTTGATACACGTATACAGTGTGTAGTGATCAAATCAGGGTAATTAGCATCTCCATAAACATTTAGCTTTCCTTGTGTTAGAACCCACAAATTCCTCCCTTCTAGTTCTTTATGAAATATATTGTCCTCAACTACAGCCACCCAACTGTGCTACAGACACTAGAATTTATTCCTCCATCTGACTGGACTCTGGCACCTGCGTTCTGACCTTTTGTGTCCGTTCTCCCTCTTATGGGCCCAATCCCCTGGTGATCGCTATTCTGTTTTCCACTTCTATGAAACTGACTTCTTTGTTCTCCACACATAAGTGAGAGCACAGCGTTCGTCTTCCTGTGTCTGGCTTATTTCACGTAACATAACGTCCTCCAATCAACCCATGTTACTTAAAATGACAGGCTTTCTTTCTTTTTATGGCCGAATACTATGCCATTGTGTTATATCTATTCCTGTATCCATTCACCTGTTCATGAGCTGAAGGGCACCCTGGTTGATTCCAGGTCTTGCCTATTGTAAACAGGAGCACAAGAAACACGTAAGCACAGCTATCTCTCTGAAATGCTGATTTTGTTTCCTCTGCCCACTTAGTCCTTCGTGGGATAGGTGAAGCAGATGGTAGTCCCACTTTTAGCTTTTGAGGGCTTTTCTTACTGTTTTCAATCATGGTTACATGCTAATTTACATTACCATCTTCCCCATCCTCACTAGTATTGTTATTTTTCATTTTTCTGTTCATAGCCATTCTAACAGGGATACAACGGTCTCACTGTGGTTTTGATTTGCATTTCCCTCAGGATTAGTGATGCTGAATATTTTTCAAATACTTATTGGCCATCTGTGTATCTTTTTTTTTTTTTTTTTTTTTAATCTGATGGAATTTTATTAATTTGCAATTTTCTA